AAGCTCTCTTCTTTTGGATCTCCATAAAGTTAAGCCAGTCTATTCACCGGGTCCGGACGGAGTTCCAGGCTGCGTGCTTAAATACTGTGCTGAAACTCTGTGTAGGACTCTGCACAAATTGTTAACCTTGTCATTGAAAACTTCTCATTTCCCACTTATTTGGAAGGAGTCATTTGCTATTCCCCTTCATAAGAAAGGAAATAAATCGAATACAAGTAATTACAGAGGCATATCCAAATTATCCGTTATTACACCCCACTTGCAACATTATATCTCCATGTCAACATGGATTTATAAGGCGTAGATCTACGACGACAAACCTCTTGGAGCTAACGTCTTTTGTAATAAATGGCTTTAGAAAGAACATGCAGACTGACGTAGTTTACACTGATTTTAGTAAAGCGTTTGATTCAGTAAATTACTCGCTTCTTGTATTAAAGCTAGACTTATTAGGGTTTCCATGTGATCTTCTAATATGGATCTCAAGTTATCTGAGTGGTAGGACTCAACGTGTCCTCTTTAAAAACTCGATCTCTGATTTACTTCAGGCGTCCCACAAGGAAGCCAACTTGGCCCACTTCTTTTTACTTTATTTATAAACGATCTCCCTCTAGTCTTGACAAAGTCGCGTGTCCTTATGTACGCAGATGACGTTAAGTTATGCCTGCAATATAACGAACTTTCTAGCAGTTTAGACTTACAATTTGACCTAAATGCTTTTCAAACATGGTGTTGTGAAAATATTTTGGATTTAAATAGCGCTAAGTGCAAAGTAATGACATTTTTTCGGGTGAACCCACAATATGCAACGTATACGCTGGGTGGTTGTGCGTTGTCGAGAATTACGCATGTTGATGACCTTGGCGTCCTTCTTAACCCAAAACTTAAGTTTTGTGACCATATAACTCCTATGGTGAATAAAGCCAGTGGAGTACTTGGATTTATTAAAAGGTGGTCAAAGGAATTCGATGATCCTTATGTTACAAAGACTCTTTTCATTTCACTAGTCCGTCCAATCCCGGAGTACTGTTCAGCAGTTTGTAGTCCTCAGTATGGTGTACATATAGACCGGATAGAGTCTGTGCAAAATAACTTTTTATTATTTGCTCTACGGGGCCTTAACTGGAATGCAAGCCTTATTTTACCATCCTACTCTAGTGACTTCTCTTAATTAATCTACCATGCTTAGTAAACCGTAGAACGATGCTTGGCACAACTTTTATCTATAAACTTATTCACGGGGATGTGGAGAGTCCCGAGTTACTGGGTCGCATAAGCTTCTCCGTGCCTATTAGAATTACCAGGAACTATGTTCCTCTTACATTAAATATTTGTAGATCTAACTGTTCGCTCAAAATTGAAATTTGAAATATATTGGAAAAAATAAAAACTTGAAGTTTAGTGTAAGTTAGTTTAGGTCGAAGGCGGGAGCACAATAAAGTTTTCTCTCGCTCTCGGCGAAGTCGCCCCGTCTTCGCCAACCTTCGTTAAGCTAGGCTCTAAGTACTTTGTCGAAAAATATATAAGCATTCGTTGAAATTGATTTGAGCCGTCGACACCTTTTCTTTTTCGTTTTCGTTTTTCGCTGTTAATAATTTTAGCCACCGCCAAGTTTTTTTCGGTTTTAATAATTAGAAAACTCTCTAATTTTTCATGGCGCCCCCGGGTGGACGTTAAAGTTATTAATTTATTTGGAAACTAGTGACAGTGACACATAAACCAAAAATATACAGTGCAAGTGCTAGTGGAGGAGGCCTTTTTCGGCGGGCCATTCATAAGTTGGCGCCGCTTCCATTGTGTTGAAGCCCGATGGGTGTTCAACGGGGCCGGTGTTCGCTCAAAATTGAAATTTGAAATATATTGAAAAAAACAAAAACTTGAAGTTTAGTGTAAGTTAGTTTAGGGCGAAGGCGGGAGCACAATAAAGTTTTCTCTCGCTCTCGGCGAAGTCGCCCCGTCCTCGCCAACCTTCGTTAAGCTAGGCTCTAAGTACTTTGTCAAAAAATATATAAGCATTCGTTGAAATTGATTTGAGCCGTCGACACCTTTTCTTTTTCGTTTTCGTTTTTCGCTGTTAATAATTTTAGCCACCGCCAAGTTTTTTTCGGTTTTAATAATTAGAAAACTCTCTGCCAGATGGATGCCCTGCGACTGACACCCGGGCACCTACTGACAGGCGGGCCGCTACTCGCCACACCAGCACTCCGGACCCCGGACCAGGAGGGTCTCAACTGCTTTCGGCGATGGCGGCTTGTCTCGTCAGTCAGGCAAATGTTCTGGCGGCGATGGTCCCGGGAATATGTCCTGGGCCTCCAAATACGGGGCAAGTGGCACCAGCAGCAGCCCAACATCAGCGAGGGAGATCTCGTCCTCGTGGCCGAGGACAACCTACCGCCCCAACAATGGCTCCTCGGCAGAATAGTCGCCAGGCACGCAGGGGAGGACGGCATGGTCAGGGTCGTCGACGTGCGAACTAGTGGAGGAGGCCTTTTTCGGCGGGCCATTCATAAGTTGGCGCCGCTTCCATTGTGTTGAAGCCCGATGGGTGTTCAACGGGGCCGGTGTTCGCTCAAAATTGAAATTTGAAATATATTGAAAAAAATAAAAACTTGAAGTTTAGTGTAAGTTAGTTTAGGTCGAAGGCGGGAGCACAATAAAGTTTTCTCTCGCTCTCGGCGAAGTCGCCCCGTCTTCGCCAACCTTCGTTAAGCTAGGCTCTAAGTACTTTGTCGAAAAATATATAAGCATTCGTTGAAATTGATTTGAGCCGTCGACACCTTTTCTTTTTCGTTTTCGTTTTTCGCTGTTAATAATTTTAGCCACCGCCAAGTTTTTTTCGGTTTTAATAATTAGAAAACTCTCTAATTTTTCATGGCGCCCCCGGGTGGACATTAAAGTTATTAATTTATTTGGAAACTAGTGACAGTGACACTTAAACCAAAAATATAAAGTGCAAGTGCTAATGGAGGAGGCCTTTTTCGGCGGGCCATTCATAAGTTGGTGCCGCTTCCATTGTGTTGAAGCCCGATGGGTGTTCAACGGGGCCGGTGTTCGCTCAAAATTGAAATTTGAAATATATTGAAAAAAATAAAAACTTGAAGTTTAATGTAAGTTAGTTTGGGCGAAGGCGGGAGCACAATAAAGTTTTCTCTCGCTCTCGGCGAAGTCGCCGCCAACCTTCGTTAAGCTAGGCTCTAAGTACTTTGTCGAAAAATATATAAGCATTCGTTGAAATTGATTTGAGCCGTCGACACCTTTTCTTTTTCGTTTTCGTTTTTCGCTGTTAATAATTTTAGCCACCGCCAAGTTTTTTTCGGTTTTAATAATTAGAAAACTCTCTAATTTTTCACTAACTTTGATATGCATGAACCGTTTAGAGTACTGTGTACGACTATAATAGACTATACCATATTATTTCTACTACCGACTCTTTGCCAAGCCTAAAAGCATTAATTTTTTCTTACTTAGCACATAATTAGTATTAGTATTAGTCGTACGTATTTCTAACTTAGTCTCTCCGCTTCTATATCGTCCTTTTTCACTTCTCGCGATTTCGTTTTTACGCCCATTGGGTAATAGGGCTCCGCGCTTAATAAGCACTGCTTGGTGTCGAAAGGGCCACTTGTTTGCGCTGATCATAGTGCATCAACGTCCAAAAAAAAAAAAAAAAAATTATATGTTTACAATATGCATTATATGTTAATAAAGTTAATTAAACCAACTCATTTTTATACCCTTGCAGAGGGTATTATAATTTCAGTCAAGTATAAAGTATATATATTCTTGATCAGCATCACCAGGAGAGTCGATCTAACCATGTCCGTCTGTCCGTCCGTCTGTCTGTCTGTCCGTTTCTACGCAAACTAGACCCTCAGTTTTAAAGCTATCTGCTTGAAACTTTCCCAAAAGTTGTCTTTCTATTGCAGGTAGTATATAAGTCGGAACGAGCCGGATCGGGCGACTATATCATATAGCTCCCATAGGAACAATCGGAAAAAACAATTCAAAAAATTACACCTTTGTTGTTTTTCTTTTTTTTTGTTGTTCTTTGGGATTTGGTGATATTTATTAGGGAATTGCGGTTTTAATTAAAATAAAATCGGACAACAATATCATATAGCTGACATAGAAACGATGGCAAAATGAAGCGCAAAATCGATATAGCTTCATTGTTTTTAGTAATATAGGCATAAAAATCGAAATTTAGTTGATTTGTAATAACTGCAAGGGTATATAAACTTCGGCTTGCCGAAGTTTGATTCCTTTCTTGTTAATATTCAATTTTAAATGGAAAAGTGCGGTCACTAAAATATTTATGCTACGGTACGAAACGATGAATGTGAAAAGACAAATTTCGAGCTGCCTCTATCTCCTTCACTGCGTTGCACACTAATACCCTCTGCAAGGGTATACAAATATAGAGTGTACTAATGGAGGAATTACCCTTGAAACTTTATATATTTATATGGGATATTTCTCTATTTATGACTCCTTCATTTGTCATTTTTATTGAATTCACCCAAGATTCAACCAACGACTTTTACGTATAAGTCTGTATGCAGACTCAAAATAAAAGTAATTTCCATTTCCCTTTGGCTTTATCTAATTTGTATTCTTCAATTGGAGGGGAGCTGTGTTAACTTAACAAAGAAATTCGATTTTAAAAAGGAAACCTGGAAGTCTCAGTCGAAATCAAATTATTACCTTAACACAACTGAATTCACAGCCGAAGATGTCGACGTCCAAAAAATGTTTCGACATTTTTCATGCCATGATATTGTAAAATGAATGTACGTTGAAGCCTGCCTTTATGTGTGCTAGCATAAAGTCACGTCTTGGATTTACTTATAATTTAACCCTTAATATCGGGATAGCTAATATAAATTTGTTGCTTTTAATTCGCTTGAGATATACATATTATTTAAAAACTTTAACAAAATTTCACACCCGCTGAAGACAATATTCCTATTTTAAAATAATGGCAGTTAAAAACAATTGAATTCGATTTTCGATGTCGTACAATTATTATTTTTTTAAAAACCAAATAAGCAAACACATTAAATATTATTTTTACAATTTTATGTAAGTATGTCGTAAATCGTTAAATTGTTTGCAGCAATATCTTCTAAAAATCAGAGTATGGTAAGTTTCCAGATATTGGTAAGGAGTATGGACTTTGATAGACCTCTTGGTTGTGTGAGATTGGTCCCCAACCTCTGGCACATTTGTTAAAAGTTTGACCCTGGTTCAACGAAGGAGTAGCCGAGCTACTTGTAGGTCCACATCTAGAAGAGCCAGTTTTTGGCAGATGGGGGGAACCTCCTGAGCCTAATGAACTTGGAGATCTGGACGTCTGTTCATTGAAAGCAATTCCAAATGGTGTTGGTGAAGTATTCCGTACTTGCGAATTTTGCTGTACATTTAGATACTGCGGGCTTGCACCAGTCAAGTTTCTCTTATCATGCTGTTCAAATATAGCCACTTTATCGAAAGACAAAGGCGAAGGGTTAAAGTTGACCTGAGGAGCGAAACACTCGGACCGAACGGGTATTTTTTTATACGGTGAGTAAGGTTTCTGGTTTGGCGGTAGTGTACTAAATCCAGTTGTTAACGGCTTTGTCAATGGAAATTCGCTACTGCCAGTAATTGAATTTTCATTAGCAACAAAGTTGGTCATCGGTAAAGGGCGCGATAAAGATTCGTAGCTTGGTAATTTAAAGTTCTCTTCATGTCCTCCGTACTGTTTTGGGGGAGCTGCATAGCTCGAGAGCGATATTTCTTTCGGAACATAAAGGCCTGTAAAAACAAAATAGAAATTATTTTAAAAGACAATGTTAAAAATTTTAATTTAGAAAACGTAAATTTTTATGATAGTGTTGGACTGACACAGATATTATGGTCACATATATTTTCTTTTATTGAAACCAAATATAGCAGCGGCAGTTGTTTTTCTGTCTAAAAAATATACATAGTTTAAAGATAATCCTTTTTTTATGAATATAAATGTTTAACTTTGTCAGGACAATTTTGTTTTATTTGTTGTTTGTTTTTGTTGATTAATTAATTCATTGATTTGTTCAGTTTATTCACTAATACATTACGATACAAGGGCAACAGACTTAATAGATCATAAAGTCTACACGGAAAGATACAGATAAAAACATAACGCAACCAAAAATACAAATAATTATTAATTCACACTTTAAAATCGAAGGCAATGCCTGGTTGGAAGTTTGTCAGTGAACCTGAAAATAATGTTGAAAACTTACAAAAAACTTCACATAGCTTATTTTACATATCTATCTGAAACATGCAAACTTGAAAGACAATTCTCTGTTAAAGTGAATATTTGTTATACATGTATATACACACAAAAACATATTCAAGCATTTTAACCTTGCCTTCATTGTTTTCTATTGGTTCTACGGCTTGTCTGGCTTGGTTTAATTCTGTTATATTCTGTTGCTCGAAAGATTCTATTAAATCACGCACATTAACTTTATCATCAGTGTCGCTTTTGACTCTTTGGTCATCGTTTCTAAGCATTTCAAATTCATTTTTTGGTATAATATCACTAGGGTTTTTATAAGCGCGGCTCAATTTCGTTGACCGTAGTTCACTTAAATATTCTCTATTTCTTAAAATTTTATTTTCAAGTCGTTGGTGTTCCAAAAAGAATGTTTGAAATTTTTCGAGCTCGTGTAAACGATTCTGCACATCAACAGCAAAATTCGAGGTTAGGTTATCTCCATATAAAAAGTGAACACAGCTAATTTTATTGTCATCTGCATCGGGACGAGTCTGCCATGATGACTCACTTTCTTTTATTTGTAAAGATTCTGAAATATTCGAATTACTAAATAAAATACGAAGTAATATTGTTACAAGGATACCGATTCCCAAGAAAAAAGATAACGTGAGCCGCATTTTTATGAAAATAAAGGAATTTAATTTAAAAAACGCTTTTTACAATTTAAACGTTCGGAATTTGTGAAAAGAATTATTTAGAATTTCTTATATTCCGTCTTGATTCAAATATTTAAACGGTCGAAGGGTCCAAAATAGATTTGGAAAAAGCCGATGTGTTTGATGATTTGGAAGAAAAACATCCTATATATTTAAGGCTTGAATAAAAAATTTTGTGGCTTAAATAAGAGCTGCTAAAACGTCGTTACTGAAAAAATCTATGTATGTTTGCGGCATCGATAGTAGACCAAAAATGTTTAAGTACACCATAGTTGTGCAACTTAATGCATTCAATAATTTTCAAATAATTTTCTGTTTGGTAGGTTATATATTTTTAGAACATAAAAGTCTTTTTGTTTCCTTATTTTATAAAATAAAAAGATAATAAAAAACAATCGTAAAAATACTTTATATTCATAGTCGAAAAAGTTTAAGTACACCTAAGATAAAATAAGGTCCCAGCTCGATAATATTATATTTGGTTGGACCTCCTTTTGCAGCAATAACTGCTAGCAGACTTCGGTGCATACTATGTACCAAAATTTGTGTGTCCTTTTTCTCAATTTTTTCTTACTCAGACTGCAAAATTATCTTAAGGGACTCTTTTGATGATATTTGGTGTTTTCTGATCCTTTTATCCAACAACGTTCCAAACGTGCTCAATGGGATTGAGATCTAGATACTGTGGAGGTGTATGCAATTGCTTGCAGCCACTCCTTGACCAAATAGGAGGTGTGTTTGGGGTCGTTGTCCTGTTGAAACAGAAATGTAGTCTCATTCAACTGGAGCTGAGTCGCGCTGTCCTTAAAGTTATCCTTTGAAATTGTATGGTGTTGATGCTTATAAACACAAGTTTCCCAACTCCAGCCGTCTCAACACACCCCCAGACCATCACGTCACCGCCGCCATGCTTAACAGTTGGCGTTAATTCAACGCTGTTTTGCGTTTCCTCCATACTATTTGGGAGCCATCTGAACCAAAAATGATCAATTTTGACTCATCACTCCAGATAACGTTGTCCCAAAATGATTCCGGCTCGTTTATATATTTGTATGCGAAATCTTTCGATTTACCAAGGTAATCAATGGCTTTCTACGAGGTATTCGTGGAGCACATTTCGTACAGTTTAAGGGTGAACTGTTTTGCCTGAGCTTTGAAATATTTCCTCCTGTATTTTTGATGATGAATTTTTAGGATTGGCCTTTATTGAGCCTAGGATTTGGCGTTCTTCCCTATCGGTCAATTTTTTAAGACGACTGGATCTCGGCTTTACTTGGAGTGTTCCAGAGTTCCTGTAGGAATTAATAATAGTTTGCACGCTGGATGGAGGCCTCTGAAGCATCCTACCAATAGCACGAGCTCCTTTTCCTTCCAAATAATGTTTTAAAATTATTTTTCGAGTTTCAGGTAAAATTTCGCTTCCTCGACCCATCTTGACCTCTCACTCCAGCAAAATTAAATGAAATGAACTTAAAATGCATAAAAATGCAAGCATCAGGAGTAGACTGAAGGAAGAATTCGCGATCACCGTTAGATTTGGAAGGGGAATTCCAAAGAAACAGAGAGATGACGAGTGTACGTCAACTTTTTTGGTGGCATTTGTTCACGAAGAAATGTTGTAGTTAATTTTGGTATTTTTGAAATACTAAAGATTAAGTTTATTGAAGCTAAAAAATAATATTAAATTTGATAAGTTTTAAAACATATTTTTAACAAAAAACACTGAGGTATGAAGTGTACTTAACCTTTTTTGGTCCACAGTATGATCAACAATTCTTAGAGAAGTGAAAACTAACAGAATAAGGATGTTTGGTCCACATTTTCTTCATAAATATTTTTATCGCATCCGTAGTTATATTATCGTAAAAATAGGAAGAAATCCGAGCTACTTGAGATTAACGACCTGCAGCAATCTTGGTGGATAATAGCGCGGTGCATACGAAAGTCCGATATATGAAAGCTGTATAATATAGTAGAAACATTCCCAAATAGCTAGAGATGCAATGAAACCACATTAGTGACGACGCCGTTAAAATGCTGTTGAGCTAATTAAAAAAATGTTTACTATTGTATTTGTAGTCCACTACTATTTTAAAAATTAAAATCTAATCTCTGAAAACATAAATCAAATACTATTTCAGAGTGTATTGTTCTATAATTGTTAAGTCTATCCCGTTTCACAATAGAAAAAGTCTTCGGGTGAATTATATACAGTTAGCTCAAAAACTGAGCGACTACTTTGCGTAGAAACAGACGGACAGAAGGACGGACGTCAGGACAGACAAACTGGGCTATACTAGATCGTTAGTTTAATTTAGCTTAAAGAGTTATTATTTACAAAATTTTCAAAGCCTCATCGCGCAATCCCCAAAAGATTCGAATTCATATTTACGCATTTATTTTGGTGAATTTCCTGAGCAACTACAACTTTTCTATTGATACTACGAACTATCCCTTCCACAAGAAACTACACTCATAGCAATATCAACACTAAATTTTAGAAATTCGCCATTAAAACTTTATTTTTTCTAAATCCAAGAAAAGTTTTATATTATTAAGGAATTTTTTTCTGAAAACAAAAACTTTTCTTGAATCAAGAAAGTGTTTCTCAAATGTGGAAATTGTCGCCCTAAATTAAAGAAAAAAGTTTTATATTTTAGTAAAAATTGTACTTGTTTTTAAAATTTTTTTCTTAAAATGGGGAATTATGCCCTAATGAATAATTTACACTAAAAAAATAACATTTTTCTCAAATTAACCCTAAAATATAGAAACTGTTGATAAAATATAGAAATATTTTCTTAAATAAATGTAGGATAGTTATCCTGGTAATACCGAAATCGATCGCGTATGTCCAGTTTTTCATCAGTTTACAGCAGATTTTTTTTTTAAATTTGTAAGTACATTTTGGCCACCTCACGGCCAATCAATAAAAACGAGGTTGCCCGAGCATAAGCTGCCATACAGGTCCAAATCATAACATGACCCCCGCAATGCTTGACCGAAGCATGGTGTTTGATTTCAAGTTGGTTTCTTCGATGCAAACTGGATTGAACTTGATTGATACTTTTTTTTTTAATAGTCAACATATTTAACAAGAAGTTCCTTGCTCGAAATAAACTGTGACATAAAAAAACTGTGACATAAGTGTCATCTAATGGAGTTTAAAAATATTGAAGTGCCTAAATAAATGTCAAAATACTAAAGAACATAACTGCATTTAAATCTTTTTCATATTCCGTACAGCTTGCCAGCTATATGATTTTGAATTTTTGAATTTACGTCTGCACGAAATATGCTTGGAGCCACTGTAAATACCTAGGCGGCATGCTTGACAAGAAACAACATTGGACCGTGAATATAAAGCATTAGGTGTAGATGAGGATTCTCCGCTTCTATTGTACACAGAAATATTTAAAATAATTCTTCTCGATGGGATCATCGTTTGGTGGAACTCCCTGCAAATTACATTTTTCGAGAAGCCTAACAAATTATAGGAGATTTTTAACTTCTGCGAGGTGCGTGTCAACATCCTTTTTCAACACGACGCGGACACTAAACTGAAAATGGCAGCACACACAAGCATTGTTCTTCTCTCATTCATATTTTCAAGTGTGGAGAAAATTGTCGCTTGTTTCTGAACTAAGAGGAATGTTTTAAACATTTCTCGCAGGTCGTTGTAATAATTTTAGGTTGGATGTTTTCAAAAGTTCAGAAATCGTTTTCACAACACATTGGCTTTGAAAGTAATTTTTAAATTTCTAAGACAACTTCACTTCTGTCAATAGAGTATTTTTTGGTTTTTCTTTTAAACATTTCTTAACTTATGGCTAGTACTCAGATCGACAAACGAGTTCGCTAGCGAAAAAACTTTAATCTTTCCAGTGTGACCAAAATTGCGAGATCATCAGAATTAAGCGTGCTACGGTCGTACTGTCAATCAGCTGGGTTTTGTTGACAAGCAGTTAAAATTCAAATATCGTATTTGCGGGAAAAAGCCTTTAAAAGATATTGTCAAATACCTTGACAATACAAGTCGGCTGCTGTACAAAGAAATTAAAAAACAATACAATTTAAATTTAACAGTTGTTTTTTTTTAATTTACTGATAATTATTTGCTAATTTAAAGTTCATAGCTGCACTTTTATTGTGTTTTTTCATACATTTTCGAAACACTTTGCTCTGGCAAGAGGCACCCCAGATAGTTTAATGTTATTTGGTCCTCACATGTAAACTCCTGCAATCGTCTTTTACGGGTTTTTTGATTTTTCCCTCCATTTTTTAAAATGTTCAGTGAGAAGCTCATGCCAAAAGATTAAATTTTTTAAATGTTTTAATCTTTTCGCTAGGGTTCAAAAGTTCATTTCAGGTGGTTGGCGACGCGAAGTAATTATACCCGTTACTCGTAGAGTAAAAGGGTATATTGTATTCGTGCAAAAGTATGTAACAGCTAGAAGGAAGCGTTTCCGACCCTATAAAGTATATATATTCTTGATCAGGGTCACTAGCCGAGTCGATATAGCCATGTCCGTCTGTCCGTCTGTCCGTCCGTATGAACGCTGAGATCTCGGAAACTATAAAAGCTAGAAGATTGGCATTTTGCATGCAGTTTCTAGGAGTTCCTACGCAGCGCAAGTTTGTTTCAAAAAGGTGCCACGCCCCTTTTAACGCCCACAATCGCTTATATACGATTTAAAAAATTTAAATATTTCGGAAAAGTAAAAATGCAGTTTTATTGTGTTTATCAATACTTATCGAGATGTAGAAGAAATTTTTCAAATCGGACCATTCGTTAAAAAGATATGCGTGATCAAAGTTTCTATCTCCATCTCCCTCGCACTCCCTTTACCTGAGTAACGGGTATCTGATAGTC